CACACGCGCTGGTCTGACATGAATTGGATAATGAACCTTCAATTGCATCTTTAGACACGATGTGACTACAATCGGTAACCCATGATTGTTAAACTAAAGTAACTTAATAATAATTGGTCATAATTTATTCTCTAAATATACTGCCGAATATTTCCCAAAGAAACTTACTTTAAATAAATCAACTATAAAACAACAATAACTGTGTTTTTCTACATTAAGACATTTCAGTTTTACACGGGAAACTCTTCACAAAGGTTTACGACAAAAAGGATGATTTGTCGTTCCCTATTGTCAATTTTCCTTTGTTTGGACAGTGATGTTCCTTAGCACCATCTTACGGTGCTTATGTATCCTAACTCTTTCGCTATGCCTGTGTCTGTCGTTACCACAAATTTCTTGAAACCTTTACTACATTCTTTCACAGATACAAAGATTTAGTTTTGAAGCCAGCTATGCTAATTTTATTAATCTGTTTCGTCAAAACTAGAAATTTACAAATAAATATGTCATATTATGGTGATATATATTACTCCCAATTTTTTTTTTTCTTTTCTTTTTTTTTTATTAAACTGGCTAAATATTGAAATTGTTCATGGACAAATTTCCTTAATTCAGTCCTTCATTTTTGTGCACTATGAAATTTATAGCCTGCATTTTGTTAGACAATTTATTAATTTTTCATTATGTTTATGGCAAAGTTGTTTATTTTCTCCTTTTCTGAAATCATTGTTTTTTTCTTCTTTTTAGGGTGCCAAAGATGAATGAATGCAGTAAATTTACAAAAGGAGTAAAATTTCCTAGTAAAGGAAACCTTCTGCTGGTCGTAATATTGTGAATGAGCTTCATGCATCTGTTGTCGTTTCAGACTACGCTTCTCATTAAAAACATGAACCTTATTCATTTTTAAATTAAAATCGTATTGACATTTCAATGGTGACTGCAAAAGATATATATATTTGATAATAAAAGATTTTATTTACACCAAGGATTTGTATATGTATACACATTCACAATCTTACTTTTAGACTGCCAAGGCCGTAACTACCATTGAGGCAAGTGAGGCAATTGCCTCACTAAAATTTCGACACTGCATTTTGTTTTGTGTATTTGTTTATGGGCATTAAATACGAAATATAGTCATTTGTTTTTCCTGTCTGATTATATATTTCCCTATGTTCCCCAACTCTATTCGTTCTCTTTACAGATAAACAAGATATAAATATATGAAACCTGCAGGGATTAGTTTTTGTCCATGTTTCTTTTACCTTAACATTTGAAAGAACATCCCGTAATCCAATTTTGACATTATTGAGGGAAGGTAGGGCCTTTAAAACGGGATTTCATATTTCTTAATTCGGGACTATGGGTTTTCGTGATTTTAATTCGAGATTTCGGGATCGGACCCCTTCCTACCCCTTCATTATTCGATTGTCGACCTACTGACTATTTCCAGAAATAATCTGAAATCACGGACCTACATGTAAACGGCGAAAACTCCAGTCCAATTTCCCCGTATCCATAAAAAAAACCCCTAAAAATCAATATTCCTAGAACAACATAAAACGATATACTAGTTATATCCAATTTGCCGTATCCATAACATTAAAAGGTAGCATGTGGCAAAAAGGAAAAAAACGAAAAATAATATTCCTAAAATAACACGAAATGGCATTAGGGGTACCCCCATACCTCAGTGAATTCAGATGAAAAAGATATGATTATCCGATATTATATGACGTGTTCTTCTGCTTTTACTAACTCTCCCAGTAACAAGTGTTTGCTTTGAACGTTCCTTTTCTGCCTTGAGACGACCGAAAAGTTGGGAAAGAGCATGCATGCATGAGTGTAGTCCAAATAATTATGATGTCTTGAAAGGCTATTATATTTTTTTCTGGGACGAAGGCGTCCCAGAAAAAAACCCAAAATAGCCTTTCAAGACGTCATAATTATTTGGACTAGCATGAGTGATGAGAGACTGTGCGGTCTCGCCATGCTTCATGTTCATCGCAATAAGGATGTCAGCAGACCAAATATTCTGAAACGATTTGATGAAACCGGCCATAGAAAAATTGGTAAAATCCAATTTGAATAACAATTGCTACTGAGTCGATGTTTGTTCTGTGTTCTGGCGGCAGACTCAAATTGATATTTGAATGTTTATCCGACATATAAATTTAGATAAAGTTGTTAAAAATTTGGTGTTAGTACATGTCTTAAAATATGAAAAATATATAAAAAGTGTCCAAAAATAAAAACTCCGGACAGCTTGTTTCAACGATGTCAAGCTCTCTGGAAATGCCCAGAATGCAGGATTTTACACCATTTATCCTAAACCCCTGTCGAAATTTTTCGCCTCGCTACGCTCGGCTCTATTTTTTCACTTCGCTCTGCTCGGCGATCAGTTCTGCCTCACTAAAACATATGCCTAGTTACGGCCTTGACTGCAATCTCTTTACCCTAGAATAAAAAGACAAAAACCACTACAAATGATTGTCTCGTGGAAATAAGGTTATAAAATACTTTTTAAATAGTGTCTTCCATGTTGCTTTGATGTATGACCTCGGCTCCCACTTCAATGTTGTGTTTTTTATAGATTTTTTGTTGCTTCGAGGACACACATATCCATCTATGTATGCAGTATTGTCAATTGTTTTTGTTGGTGGGTCTCTCGCTTATGTTTTCGTCCTTTTCACTATCAACAAAGAGTTCGTTATCAGTTTATTCAAATAGAAGTATATCTAAGTCGTAACTATTAAGATTGTCAAGCCACGAAATAAAATCGGAATTTTCCATATTGCGTGCACATGAATGAAGCTTTATTCAAATGAGAAATTAATTGTAATTTTCTTAAATATTAATTCTCAATACACACTTCGAACATGAAGAAACCATAAATTTACCGACAATCATTTAAAAAACAACTCAATTGCAAGCCTATGATGAAACTGTCAAACAACACTTAGAAATCAAACATTTACCGACAATCCTACAGAAAAAACTGAATACATGCCCAATAAATGATGAAAATAAAAATAAATAAAATTTTAATAATTTATAAATATCAATAATAAAAAACAAAGCCTATCATGATTAACAATTAATTAACAAATAAATTAAGTTTTTTTTCCACATTAATTAATTTTATATTTTGTGAATTGTATTTTTGGAAAGAGTGTGGACACCTGTGGTGTAACAACTTCTTGTTTACAAGGTGTCAATTAAAACTCATTATTTATAACATGTTCGTGATTTACCTGGTCATCGAATAATTCAAACCTAATATACATGTCACACTGTGAAATTATGTCTCCGGAATGAATGATCTTTATTCTCATAAACCAAATACATAGTTACAGAGAAGAAATATTACAATAATAACAAATATTGAATATAGCATGTGTGAAATACAGAATATTGTTAATTAATATTATAAATATATATTTGGACAAAAGATAAATTAATATACAATAGTTGTTTTAACCAGGAGGATAGACTTTCACAGAAATACATTTAATAAATCTACAGAGTTTCTCAAGTTCAACACAGTTTCGATTTGAGTATACTTGTTTAAATTTTATAACATTTACATTAGATTTACAGTATTGCGGTAAATATTTGTTTCTATCGTCTTTGAAAAAATTACAAGACATAATATAATGGTATTCGTCACCGATGTCAACTGAGTCGCAAAGGTGACACAATCTATCAGATCTTGGTATGTTGTGCCACCTTCCCGTCTCAATTGGCAAACGGTGATTTCCACATCTAAATTTACATAAGGTTATTAATAAATTGAATGGTAGCACTGACAAATAGTGTTCAAATTTAAAAACATTTTTATACAATCTATAACATAAACCCTTTGGCGAATTGTTCATTTCTGATGACCATTCTTGAGTGAACTGGTCTCTTAATCTTTGCTGAACACTTAATACAACCCAGCGTTTCTGAAATACATAATGACTTTGCCATACATTAGACATTCCACAGTCATTAAAAATGTTCTTTATATAAGATAACCATTTATTTTCATAACCATAATTATTGAGATTAACATATAACAGATTATATAATAAACATGATATTTTGCGCTCTTTTCCTTCTTGTAAGCGACACCAGAAACTAATCATGCGTGACTTGACGGTAACTGAAATAGGGTATCTTCCCAGCTCACCATACACCATAAAATTTGGGGTTGAATTTTTTAGACGTAATATATGCTTGCAAAAACGCAAATGAACTCTCTCAAGAATATCTAAATTTTCGAATCCCCATATTTCGCACCCATATGTTAATATAGGAACAATAGCCTTATCAAACATATCTAGTTGGCACTCGATCGACAAATTATTAAGTCTGGATTTTTTTATTACAGCACTCCGAGACAGGTGTATATTCAATAGACACCCATTATGTAACTTTCAAATAAAATGAACTCCGACACAATTTATCAAGTCTTAATTATTTGATATTATTTTTTTTTAATACAATATCAAATTATGTCTCTTTTTCAATAATACAAATCTAAAATCAAAATTACATTAAAATAAATTATTATATATGTACTCAAATTATTTAATTAATTATGATAAATTTAACACTGAAACAGTTTATGTTATGCTTAAACATTCGTCCTTACTTCGAGTACTTTTAATACTTTTATTAATGACTTTATTACCTAAGGAGATCTCGCGAGGTTTAACTAGTGGTCGCGTGTTATTACGGGATTTCGCCGAGTTGCGAATCTCTTGTATTATATGTCTCTGGTGCCATGAACATTTATGTTGGACATGTCATGTTAAGTTAAGGGTTTCATAAAAAAAATAACAATGTTGTTTTTTCAATCAGATAATAAATTTTCAATTGTAGATTTATGCTATCTATAATATTTCAGGATTGATTTTAACTTACATTTCTCAAAAATGATCAGTTTGCGTGTTAATAAAGTGGCATACGTGGTAATAGAGGAAGTTCACACAACACTTGATATATTGCCCCAAAATCATCAAAACAGATGCACGGAACTGATTGTTTGTCTAGTTTGCGAATCAACTGATCGAAATGAGGTATGATAGTTTATTTTATATTTTGTCCATAGAAATTTGTCTTTGGCCGATTTTCATAATACTCAATGTATTAACGGAACTCATTGACGTAAGGATGGACTGAAAAGTGCACGCATGCGTGTGGTGGTGGTGGTGGGGTATATTTTAGTCTAATAGTATAGGAGTGTTTCAAAAGTGTTGGAATTGCCTCCCTTGCTACAAAAAGTCCCGACATGAAAAATGTGATACAATTCAAACGAGAAAACTAACGGCCTAAATTATAACAAAACAATTTACGAAACACAAATACGACAGACATGAACCAATGAACCATCGACAACCACTGAACTACGGGCTCCTGACTTGGGACAGGCACATAAAGAATGTAGAGGGGTTAAACATGTTTGTTAACGCTTAACCCTCCCCTAACCTGGGACAGTGGTGTAACAGCACAACATAAGAACAAACTGTAAAAATCAGTATCAATTAGCTTTCCTCAAAAGATCGGTATGAGACACAAAAACAACTGACATTAAAACAGTAGACACAAAGCACGAAATAAGAGTACTCACAGTTACTGAAAGCTAGTTCAAACCAAATTAAAACTATGTAGTAAATAAATCATGTTCTCCCAGACTTAAGTATCAATCAGTACACATGCATCCAACGACTTTGGTGTAAAGACGTCATAAGCATTCTGATTGGTAGGGAGTTAAACAATGACATAGGTATAAAGTAGTTGATGGTTGCATTTCTGTAAATATAGACAATGCAATTTCCCATAGGAACTCCCTTTACGGCTAAAGCTGTGCCACTTTTACTATAGAATTATATCCTAGAATGGAAAGTTGATATGCACTACTTTTTTATTCAAAGGTCAAAACATAGGGCTGTGCGGCATATTTTCAACATTTATATTCCCCCAACTTCTAAGAGTTTAAACTTATACTAAAATTCTGCACTACCCCTCACTTCACTTTACGTCTATCTCAGAATTCAATTCCACCGCCTACCATGTGCATTTATACTGGTAATATTCCCAATTTATGTCTCTATGAAAAGAAACATAGAGATCATATCTGGGAACCAGTACGTAAACAAAACAAAATATCTATTAATATTATATATCTCCCCAAAAGAGGCGTGGTTTGTGAAACAGCTGTATTTACAAAGTGCAACCTATACTAACATTTATTCAAATAGAAAACTCCTGAAAAACACTTTTTCTCACAACAATACTTATTTATCAGAATCAAAGCCTTAAAGAAATCACTGTATATACTCTAATTTTTCAGTACATTTTATATCCTCACCCCTGTTTCCATTTTTAAAGAATTTGAAAACAAGACTTTAATTATTGCCAGCTTACCCTATGTGCATGTTTTCTGACATGACATGTATAGAACCTGCATGTTTGAAACTATTCTGATAACAAATTGAAAGCATTTCAGAATACTATAAATGTAATGTTTAGTAGTCAATCATTCCAACATTCAAGATTATATAAAACATCCAATCCTGCCTTTGTCTCCAGTCCACATCTTACTGTCTGCATATTTATCAATTAAAGTTCACTATTTCTGCATCAAATGGTCAGTTTAGAAATCTTGTCACAACAATATCATCTCTAACCATATATCTAACATAATTTAGCTAATATATGAACTTTAAAGTGTCCAAACAAAGCCATATTTGCAAAAGTTGTATGTATGAAGTTACCAGTCTGATGTATGCATTCACTAAAAGTTTTATAAATTGACTGCTAACATCTGTTTTTTGCATACTTTCTAAGCACAGTTATTGTTTTCTTTACAAAAGACATTTATAATAATAAAATCATAGCATTTACAGGTTAAATTATCTGTTTTATGACCAAGGGGATAGGCATTTGTCTCTACTTTTTGCCCCTGAGGTCTCAAATTTGCTAAATAATTCTGCTGTTTCTGTGAATATGGAATATGTAGTACATATTTAGGATAGAACACACTATTGTTAGTTTTATTAATGAGGTATTTTTGTATTTCTAGCTTGTATTTTTTTATGCCGCGGTTACAAAAAAGCACATTCAAGTGTTACGGCTTACTTTTGGGTTATCGTCACGACAAAAACACACCAGCAACAATATTCATCAAGGATCTATGAATTTCAATGACTGCGAAGAGTAAATATAAGCACTTCTAAACAATTCAAATTACAAATATGCATACATTAGAATTTACTTTGCATTCAGGGCTTTAAGTAAAATATGCATACTGTAAACTGTGAATCTATGCTGAGTCATCAATTAAAGGCCCAGGATTTTCTCAATCTTCATGAAATATTTATAAAACTTCATATTTGAGTTAAGTTCATTAAAATCTATGAGATAAACCAGATTTGGTGAAATTCTACATGTTCTCTTTTTTCACCCAAAATAGGATACACTACTAATTTTTAAACTTATACAAGATTGTTATTGCTACACCAATTTCTATTTTGTATATCATTATAAACTGAAGAAAGTGTATTTCGTGACATTTTTTTAGTGTATTTCTTTTTATACTTTTAAATGGATATATGCATTACAATTTTTTCTGATAAATATTTTGTATGAAACCTTTCGATAGGGATCGACCGTTTCTTAATAGAAAGAGTTTGTTTAAAAAAAAAATAGGCAGAAGATTTCAAGGGAACATTCAAAATTCAAACAGAAACCGACAATGCCATGGCAAAAAAAAAAAAAAAAACGAAAGACGAGAAGACAATCAAGACCACAAAACACTGAATAGGAAACGAACGACTGAGCAACATTAACCCCTACCAAAACATGGGGTGAATGCATGGTGCTTGAACCTTCAGAAGGGTAAACAGATCTTACTACACAAGTTACATGTTGCAAATTATAAAGAATTAAAGAATACTCCAAATTTGAAGTTAATTCCTTTTGTTTTTTAATAGAAAAAAAAAGAACAGGATGAAAGTCAAGCGCACAAATATTTTAAATTTTATCTTTGTCACTTAAGGGGCTCCGTAAAATATGCTACAACATGTAGAGAAAACTCATTTATTAGTTACCAATTATTGTAATCTTCGTCGATTCAATACAACAAATATACATGTATGCATTACATTCAGAAAATACAGTAGCTATTTTAATCCATCTATGTTATATCAGTCATCTACGTCATACATCAACCAAGGATAAAGAATTCTGTTAAATTAAAATTTTTGTTTTTGGCGGTCCGTTAGCTTTACTGTCTCGGGTATATCAGGGTTGGGCACCGCAAACATGTTTAACCGTTCCCGCAACATTCTGTATGTGCATGTTCATAGTCAGGAGTCAGTAATTCAGTAGCTGTCATTTTGGGGCCTTTTATTGCTTGCTATGTGGTATGGTTTTTTTTTTCATTGTTGAAGGCCGCATGGTGACATATAGTTGCTAACTTCTACGTCATGTAGTCTTGGTGGAGAGTTATCTCATTGGCAACCATACAACATCCCCTTATTTTTATATAAACAACTTATTAGTGTGGCACAAACATAAACGTCGAGTCTCTTTTTCAGTTTATTCCAGGTTATCTTACTGACTTGTGTTATGACACTTATGGTAACAGGACATAAATCCTGCTCCATAAATGCTGAACTCATGAAGAGTATTCAATATCAACTTAAACTTGTTGAAAACAATGATGGAAAATGTGATTGTAAAGGGAGATATACAGGTATAACATGTTTACAATATGAGTCTGATTACAAATCGATCAGCAGTACGCCCTTCATTCATCAGGCAGGACTTAATGAACTTCCATCCAAAAATGATCTTTCAATATATTAGAAACATGCAGTGTAATATTAACTTATTAACTTCATTGCGTATGTGTTATTTAAGGTTATTAGTCTTCAACCTCTGAAAATTTTTAGTCTGCCCTTCCACGAAATATTTAATTAGAATTTTTTAAAATGTTTTTGAACTTTCGAAAATTACACCTGACAACCGATTAGACTATAGTTTTTAAGTTGACCAAATGCAGAAAAGTACATTAAATGATGCTCAATAGCTAGTAGATAAATTTATATTTTAAAATACAACTGGCATGTAAGGATCGTCATGGTGCTATGTGGATAAATTTATAAGTTTTCAAGAGCTAAATTGGCAGCGCGTCATCCCTACAATGGCTTCCATTTTTACGATTGTACAAATTAACTGTCGTTATGGGCACATAATTTTGACGAAGTAGAAACCTGACTGAGCTAATTTGTACAATAAAATAAAAGCGAGATGATGTATGAAATATTTTTCTTTTATACGTTTGCGAGATAGAATAGTCAACTCAAACACGCCCGAACATAAAAAGGTGCACTCGACTTTCTCTTTTTGATGAAATTATTATCCATTTTTAGGTATTTTTCCACAAAAAAAAAACTGTCGCCGGGGGGCAGAGATGCAAATAAATGCTTTAAATAGATCAATTTATAATTATCTTTCTGTGGAATTTTTTCGGCGGAATTTATGCTTATGCACAAAAAAGATCCACTTGTATTTGCACAAACCACAATCGACTGTTTTATGTAAATTTGTATAAAAGTTTACAAATATCTCGAACCTGCAAACTGTAAAAACACATCTATAAGATGCATAAAATTCTAAATTATGCCCCTTTATTAAACTTTTAAAGCCCATAGAAACAGGTGTAAACAAATGTCAAATATACCAATTTGGCTTTTTTACCTTCTCTAAAAAGAGTTCCTTTTCTTATGTTTGATTTCAACTGGAAATCCGCATGAGCTGGCTTAATGGGCAGATAATTTTGACGAAGTAGAATCCTGACTGAAAGGCATATGTGAAGTACCATCATCAATTAACGGACTTTATGCGAATTCCGGGCTCATTATAGAAACAAAACGCTACAGAAAGTTGTGAATTAATTTTGTTCAGGGCTTCTTTTCGTGTTTTTATATATATCACACCTATTTGTAAAATACTGTCGGAAACCGTATGTTGCCGTCTAGAATTTGTATGTCTCTTTCCGTTTTTAATAACGTTTGATGGGGTGGGGGTGTTGTTATTGCTAGTTTTCCCAATATTTCTTTATGATGTTAACACAGCAAAATGAAAATCTTTTTGAGCTGAAATTATTGATACAAAATTCAAATGATAAAGATTTTTGAAAGATGAACATTGTAACTTTTTTTGCCATTTTCAATCACGAAGAAAGGGTTCAAAATTAAAGCGAGTTCATCTTGTTCTCGTGTATTTACAATACATTTATATATATTTTCGTGGGTCCATTGCAACGAAAGCTTTAGAAGCGTTGACTCTAGAAAAAGAAACCACAGTAAATGAATAGGCTGACGTCGCGGCAATGGTTTAAATATATGTAACTACAATTGCATTAAAACAAATATAAGCAGATGATTCCATTGTCTACAATATTTAGAAATTGCTTTTAATTCACATATTATTTTAGCCTATTAAAATGTATTTTAGAACTTTGAATTTTTTTCAGGACCAGAAAAAGTGGCGTTTATGGTTAAAAATTCAGCTGATTTACTAAACATCCCTGCGAACTCTGTTGTAGTTTACAATACAGTTATTACAAATTTAGGCAACGGATACGATTCGTCCACTGGGATATTTAAAGCTCCTTCCAATTGTGTCTACATCTTTTCCTGGACAGTTCTTTGTCAGCATGGAAAATCCTTCCGTACTTATCTCGCTCTCAACGGACACCTGATAGCCAGAAACTTCGCAGGGGCACGGAATGTAGCAGATCACGCATCAGGAAGTCAGAATGTTGTTATTGAAGTAAAAAAGGACGATGAAATATTCGTTAGGATCCAAGATGGATATACCGGACAGTTCATGTATGCTGATAGTTGGTCAACTTTCAGCGGTTATAAACTGTAAAAGCTATATATAACATAAAATCAAAGTTTTCTGATATTTATTAAAGGGGCATTAGCTGTCAAATTACTGTTCATCGATTTGACTCAAGTTCTCACATTTGATTTATAACATACTAAAACGTAAATCCAAATTATAATAATTCAGAAATAAACAATTAACAATGCACCGACTCGATAATATATAAACCATTTCGTGAGTATTTTAGTTTAGACGTCATCTAATTAACCATCGAGATGACCCAGAAGACTGCCGACGGCCACATAACCCGATATAAACATTGACATTAATATAAAACGATAGTGAACTCGTGCAGCTGGACTTTTCTAGGTCTGTTTGATTTCATATTATAGGTTAAAAAAATAAGTTAATCATCGTTTTTACCTGTATTATAATGCTTTTTTGTGGATCGAATAAGTCAACGAAATGGCTCAACAAACTTTGTTTCATTTTCAATGTTGACATTCTTTTCCTTTTAATGGCTGAACATGACTAATACATGCGTAACCAATCTCTAGCTAATGGGTTTACTTGAAGGTCACATGAATACGGATTCAATGAGGTCGAATTATTCACTTGCAAGTGAAAAAATCATCAGCGATGTTTCTTAGCTTATTTTGACAAAATTGAACTAAACTGGCTGTTAAAAGCGAATTAATATTTCACTATTTCACTTGCATTAATGATTGCACAAAAATAAATCATATTTCAATTTTTTTGATATCTCGTAGCTAATGCCCCTTTTAAATTCTTGCAGGTTTAATGTTTTTTAATGATGATTTCAATGTCCAATGATTCCTTAAAACCGTCTCAATTTTGACTATCCTAACACGGGAACGTATAACTGCACTTTCCTACTGTAAATGCAACATTTTTACACACGCATTTATAGCTCTTCATCTTTTTAAAAAGCTTTGGATTTTCAAATATTTTGCCTCTAGCATCACTGAAGAGACATTAGAAAATGAAAGGATATGGAGTAAATGTACATGGGACAAAATCGCACACAATACATAGAAAACATAGAAAATTATCAATGAACAGGGCTTTTATTCCTGTTCTTCATCTTGACAGTTGATGTAGGGTCTTCAACAATGAACGAATCATTCATACCCTACAACAAGGTCAAGACGGCCCCTAGCGTCGACTTAAGCGGTACTATTGATAAAAATAAACCACAGTTCACCTTCTTGCTCCCCACCCGCCTCGGAGTGCCAACTGATTGTCGAAATGCGCATCTGGTGCAGCAAAATTGGTACCGTTTGTGTTATTAGTTTATTACTACCACTGGGTCGATGCCTCTGCTGGTGGACTGGTACTCCCCGAAGGTATCACCAGCTCAGTAGCCAATTCTTCGGTATTGGCATGGAAATATGGATTTTGTGCTATTCAAATTTGCTGTTGCAAAGTTTTGGAAATTACTTTAAATGAAAGAATATATCTCCCTCATGCAAAGCTCTGAGTCCTTGTCCGGCTTTTGCTATACCTTTTTGCCCTTTTTGGTTTATAGCTCTTCATCTTTTTGATAAGCTTTGGATTTTGAAATATTTTGGCCTCGAGCATCACTGAAGAGACATTGATTGTCCAAATGCGCATCTGGTGCAGAAAAATTGGTACCGTTTATGTCATTCTATTCAAATATTTATGGTAAAATTCATTTTTTCCTAAAGGCGGAAGATTTGGCTGGTAATGCTTAGAAATCGATGGGAAAAATCTATTTCCTTTCATTAGCTCACATAGCCTTAATGCCATGTAAATTTAATGAATCACTTAGCATCTGTCGTTGTCGGTCATCGTAAGTTACCTTTTTTTATATAAACCTTCTCATAATCCAGAGCATGCAAAGAGAGCCAAGTGTTTTGAAACGTAGCAGTGATAGTGTATGGCATGTCCTCTGTTTGTGCTCATATGCTATCGCCGCAACAAGCTAAAAATAGAACACTGTTTTAATACTGCTGGCTTTGGAAAAAGTGTATCTATTCATTTAGTAGTAATTGCCAAAGGTGTTAAATATAAATCAATATGCCCGAAAAGAAGGACTTCTTATCGGAATTCTTGTCCTTAACTGAAGATTTTACACACTTTTGCACTTTTGGCTATACATGATCATTTTTGATGTTGAACATTCCTCTCTATCTTTTTTCAAGATTATAGCCATATTTGCAAAAAGTGGTAAAAACCGTTCATCAAATTCTTTTGATGAGTTATTGCACATCAAAGACAATTTTTACCTATTTGTAAGTTTTTGATAAAAACTATGATAAATAAAGAAAAACTGTAAGCAGCAAATAAACCAAAGCATGGAAGGCTGTTAAAGCAATTGTTGCCTAGTTAATATTTTTATGACTTTTATCTTTCATTCACCTGTAAAAGAATTAAACCTGACAGGAGTCTAGGTAGTGAGAAGTAAGGATTTCCTGTGGAGAAAGTCACTATTTCAAGCTTCACTATATATAATAAGCATGAGAAATTTAGATTAAATATTGCAAAATAGAGTTCAACGCATAGCAGTACCAATACCCCTGCACATTCATGTACGTTGTTTATCTGAAAGAATTATACCGACTCTGGAACAAAGGCTAAGGTTTTAAAAACTATAAATAAAGAAATTAATTCTTGCATTTATTTCAATATATAAATCCCTCATGACTGTCTAAAATGAGATGTTAAATTTAAGTGATTCTAAAAAAATATACATTTAAAAATTTTAAATGCAAGTTTAAAATCAACAGTGGTCAAAGTAAAAGTAACAGTGACCTGATTTTGATATGTGAAAACACTGCCTTCCTATGATGCACCTGTATATCAATTTTGATCAAGCTTAGTTCCACTGTACAACAGTTATGCCTTGGACAAGGTTATGATAATTATCATAGGGGTAAAAATCAAGGTCAAGGTGACTGATTTTGGCATGTGATACACCCTCATCAAATGATACATCCATATACCAAGTTTGGTCAACCTAAGTTCTTTGTTACACAAGTTATGGTCTGGATGCATTGACTTTCATAGAGGTCAAAGGTCAAAGTCAAGGTTACGATGATCTAATTTTGGTAAACCTCAGTTCTAATGTACAAATTTGTTTATCTGGCACATTGTCATTATCATAGGGGTCGAAAATCAGTAAAACGCACAGAATACTGATAAAACCAGCTGTAACAGATGACGACGGAAAATTGTTTCAACTGTTGTAATTACAATCCCTTTCTCTTTTCCCCGATCGTTACTTACCGAATTACACTTATCAACGGGTTTGTACTTTCATGAGCAACACGACGGTTGCCATATGTGGAGCAGCGTTCTGTTTCCCTCTGGAGCACCTGATATTACCCCTGGTTTTTGGTGGTGTTCGTGTTGCTCAGTCGTAAGTTTTCTAGGTTGTAGTTTGTGTACTGTTGTTTGTCTGTTTGTCTTTTTCTTGTTTTTGCCATGGCGTTGTCAGTTTATTTTGGACTTATGAGTTTGAATGTCTCTTCGGTATCTTTCGCCTCACTTTTAATATAGAAACTATGACTGAATTATCCCTCCTACGACTTTTAATATGTTGTGTTATTCGTCTTTCTTTTTGAAAGAAGTCAATTTGCTCTTGTTCATTCATAAAAGTATCGTTCATTCATTATTCAATCAGAAACTGATATGATTCGATGTTTTGTGGAAACATCTTAAAAACGAAATTGCAGGTATCACTAGGATTTCTACGATCTTTGATAATCAAACAGTTGTCATCTTAAATACAAAAATACACCTACAAAAAAATATGTTGAAATCTCACAAACCCACCGTTGTTTTCAACTGTTTTTCTAGAAAACATACATACATAGGATTTTTAGAATAACAGACGAAGAAAAAACTTTGGCTTGGTGTGGGTTACAAAAATGACTATACTCTACAGCATTAAAGCAACTGCTTTAAAAACCGTCGAAATCGTCACCACTCATTATACAAAATGTATTAGGTATTGCTCTTACATGACATTTTATATTTTTCATATTTTTTTGGCTGATATCTTGAAAATTATAACAAAAATATAAAAAATTTAAACAAAACATGTGAACATGTTATTGTCCTTCAATGAGTATTATTACCATTTTTTGTGTTTTTGGTAAAAACTACTGTACATACACGTAGAAAGAAACTGTATGCAGCAAAATAAGCCACCATGCAGGAAATTGAAAATTGACTAATATTACCATTCAATGACATTTGTCACCCATTAGTGTGTTTTTAACTATTTTCCTAAAACGAGAGAATTTAAAAACAAATATGTGCAGCAAAATAAGAATTACCAATACTTTAACATAAACGAAATCGCCGCTGATATTTGTGCCTTTTTGGCTAATGTCTTGAAAAGTAAATAGAATGGTTGTTTTTCACGAATTTGATCCTTTTAGTAAGTTATCTTAAAAAGTATTATGTATAGAGAGAAACGGTGACAGCAAGACAAGATCTAGATCATAAAGTAATGGAAATCGTTAATTTGCATGGGAATCTTTTCTTGAAAATTTTTGATCATTTTTGTTTCTACATATTTTCCAAGTGGATCTTTATCAAACTGTCGTATTTTGATACATGTACGTCAGTCTAGTAACTATAGTTGGAGGGCTAGCGTTCATAACTATAGTTTAGCACTGCTAAGATTTGTCGGTCCAGGTAAAGTTTCCCTTTTCTCCACAATTACGAATATTCATGTTCCCAAGATATCATTGCATGCGCTCGGGGTATGAATCCTCACCATTAATCCTTGATATAATTTTTTTTAACTAATTGTTTTCTTTCTTTTTTCAAACGTCCAGTGGAGTTATATTTTGTACTACAGATATATCTAATAAATTTCTTTGATATTTTGACTTATTTTTTACTAAATTTGCTCTTATAAGTGAAGCAGTTCGCCGATGTGCCTCCTCTCCCTGCACATTTATTATTTAAGCACTACAACCAGTCGTTTCAACATTGTAAAAAAATAAAGATTCGTTTCCAGTGTAAATATTTATGTAAGTTATATATATATAAATAGTCCTATAACAAATGATTTCCGATTAAGTTCCATGTTTTTCCATTCTGATTGTACTTTGAAAGAGAAATATTTTTGGAACTATATTTTCCAATGGCACATTGATAGTAAAAACAGCAAATAGAAAATAAAATATATCAAATAGCAAAATAAAT